TATTACAGGCATTTATTTAGCACCATCAATTTATGCAGTGCTTCACTCACTGTACATTGACGTCAGTGCCTGCCCTCAAGGAGCTTACAAGCGAACATGGTTAGGTGGAAGACCTATCAATAACAGAGTCAGTAGAGGTATCAGAATCAAGGCGGAAGACCATTCAGCAGTGATTGTAACGGAACCGACCCAGTCTGCACTTGGGTACTTCTGTTAGAATACTGCTTCCCCGTCCAAACACCGACAACAGACCCCACAGCTTACCATACAGGACTAGACGACACCAATCTTGAAGTAATCCAGAAGGTAGACTAGTTTATTTTAACACAGATACAAGATATATACACTCAGGGGAACAATCCCCCCTCCCTGCGTAATGACACAGGGCGGGGCAATCTATATTTAGTAACAAGAGACACACCAACAGACAGTCCCATCAGGAGGGAGGGCTGCTGGAGACACCCCCCCCCCCCACCAAGCCAATACACATAAACACATACATCCCATAATAGTTTGCTCCCAAGCAAGACACACAATAGAACAATGGGATGCAACCACATGGCATTAAATAATCCACAACCCCCCACCCCAATATTAGGACAGATCACCCTGTATCCCTAACAGGCACAGGGTGACTTACACATAATAGGGATATAAGGATCTGAGACAGGGGTCTCCCCACCTCTCCAAAGTGAGCTGGGTTCGATGGGTCCCCCACCCAAAGTGACTCCCATCACAGTGATCTTGTGCAAAGATCAGGTTTAAATGGCCTGTTTGGGGTAGTAAACGTGCCATAATGTCTGCGGGTCCCTGGAGGTCCCTATTCTATGCGCAACCACTACTCTTTTTATGTCTGGAGCTCAGGAGCAGTGAAATTTCAGACTGTCTGCTTATGTAGTGGACATGCCAGGTGTTGGTCCCTGGAGCCTGTTCATGCTCCATTTAAACATTAGATAAGGAACATAGGGCAGCACACTGGTATTATCACTTCCTTCAGCAAGTTTTGTTGAACAAAGAGTACATCTTGCTCACCTCCACCTGATGGGCCACCCCGCTAATGCGTTTCACCCTGCGGGCCTTAATTGTAGAGAAGGGTGAAACGCGTTGGTGTTGGTCCTTCAGGTGATGGTGGGCAAGATTTCCTGTACATGCAATGAAATTTGAAGGAAGGATGTGCCGGTGGGCAGCCCCTATGTTCCTTATCTAGTGTTTTCTGTTTCAATATTCTTATTGTTAGGAAAGTTTTGATTTTTAAGAATATAGCAAGCTCAAAATACGCCCTCGCAGGGGCAGAGCAGAACAATTACATATAAACAGGGACATCCTGCTAACTTGTATTAGTCAAATAACAAAAAGTCCGATGACATCAAGAAGGGAAGGCAAACAGCCGAGCCAAATAGCAGCAGTAATCCAACATAATATTGGAAAAAAGAGAAAAGAAAAGAACTTAAAAGAAAAGAGAAAATAAAACAAAGGGAATCAGAAAGAAAACATGAAAGAAGGGAAACTAAAGGGATCACGGATCCAGGGCTAGCACCAGCAGCGACTATAGGAGGCCATAACTAGTAGGAGGCAGGGATGGTAAGGAATAGCGTATTCAAGGTTCCTTATCTAGTGTTTTATATGGAGCATGAACGGGCTCCAGGGACCAGCACCTGGCGTGTCCACCACATAAGTAAACAGTCTGAAATCTCATCGCTGCTGAGCTCCAGACATAAAAAATAGTAGTGGTTGCACATAAGATAGGGACCTCCAGGGACCCGCAGACATGCTGGCACGTTTACTGCCACCAAACAGGCTATTTAAACCTGAGCTCTGCACAAGATCACTGCTGAATGGTCTTCGGTCTTGCTTCTGTGTTCCTGACCCTGATACCTCTACTGACTCTGGTTTTGACATGTCTTCCATCTAACTATGTTTGCTGCCTATCTCCATTACTAACCTCGGCATGGACTTCTGACCTAAGATTCTCTCCATCGACTCTGTACTTTGCTGCCTGCCTGTTGCCAACGTTTGCGTATTCCTGACTCTGATCCTACCTATGATTTGGTGCCTTCTTGCTCAGCTTTTACTGGACCCATCTTGTGGCTTGACTCCGCTTATAGTTGGACTTAGCGTATCCATGGTGTACCACCAGCTGTACTCCTGCTTAACTGATGCCAGCACTCCAAAGTTTCAGTCTCCAGTGTCTGCACCCTGGCACTTGTGCCTTTCCATCGCCCTTGCAGACTCAACTTCCAGGGGTGTTCCATCGGGAATCGTGCAAGAGGCCACATTTGTCTTCTCAGGCTCTGCCTACAGGTATGTGACACCCTGGTTGAGAATGGCTGCACTATCCGAAACATCAGGAGTTGTTGGATAACAGTGGCACCCAGGACTCTGCAAGAGAGTAAAGTTTCGCCCCGTCGCTCCATGGAAAGGTGAGCATTCATCCTCATCTCTTCAAGAATGCCTTTTTTTATTTTGTGGAGTAACGAGAATGTGAAGTGCCACACCACTACTTACAGGTCCAGATGCAACTTTATTCCATTAAAAGTCGGGTACAATCCAAAAAGTAATCAACGCATTTCTTGTGCCCAAACGTCCCCTTCATCAGGGCTTAATCGGCAACAAGGCAGGCTGCCAAACAAGCTGCTGCTAAGTCCTGGCGTCAGGGCTCTGTCCTCGGCAGAGGTGTTAGGAGACCTGGCACTCCTGCCAGTACCTTGCATGGCCGCAGAAGTTCACATCGGCTCAAATTTGGCGCCAAGCGGCCATTTCCTGTTAACGACTCGGCTTGCTCCTGGACCTGTCTGCTCTGTTTAACCCTGACCTGACCCTGGCTTGTCTAAAGTATCTTCTCTCCTGCTCTCTGTGTATGAGCTCGGCTGTCCCTTTTGACTACATCTGCTCTGATCCCCACCTGGCACCCGACCAGGGGCGGACTGATAACTCACGGGGCCCCTGTGTCCTCGCCCACACTCAAACCACACCCAAAAAAGCCTATGAAAGGTACCAGGGGCATCTCATGGGGCCCCTTACTGACCCCGGGCCCTCGGGCAATGCCCAAGTTCCCAAATGGTCAGTCCATCCCTGCACCTGACCTTGGCTCGAACTGGTTATCCTGTGATCCTCTGTTCTCTGGCAGACCTGCATACCACACACAAGCGCCCCTGCTTGCAGACCCCATCTCAGCACATCAGCCCTGCTCCTGGGTGGACCACCAAACAAGCACTCCCACAGGTGACCTGTGCTACTCTGGGCCTGCTGTCCCACCTTCAGGGGAGTCTGGAACTTAGCCGCAAGGGAATCCCTCTCTCCACTGGCCTCTGTCACTAGGTACGTGATACCTGTGCTTATAATTCACATTGGAAAAAATACAATGGTAGGTTCAGTTCACTTCTGATTTGTTCACTTGCCAGTCAAGCCCTGAAGGGGGTGCTTGGTCTTACGAAACGCGTTGGAAACTTTTTGGATTGTACCCCTGACTCTAAAGGGAATAAAGGTGTATCTGGACCTCTTAGCAGCGGTGAGGCGCTACGATTTCAATTCTCGTTACATTACACTCCAAGCCAAGGAGACTGGGGAGATCCTTGGGGGTGCAGAAGCCACCTGCTCGGGAACCAGATCAATACCTTAAGATAACAAAAGCAGTAAGATCACCCTACAAGTCCAGCGCCATCTTTCCACATTCTTCAGCTTATTTTGGTGAGTGACAGGATCACTTTATCACTTTTAGAAGATTATATACAGTCATGGCCGAAATTGTTGGCACCCTTGATATTTTTCCTGAAAATCAAGTATTTCACACAAAAAAGGTATTGCATTAACACATGTTTTGCTATACACATGTTTATTCCCTTTGTATGTATTGGAACAAATATAAAACAGAGGCAGAAAAGCAAATATGACATAATGTCACACAAAACCCCAAAAATGGGCTGGACAAAAGTATTGGCACCCTTAACTTAATATTTGGTTGCACACCCTTTGGAAAACATAACTGAAATCAGTCGCTTCCTATAACCATCAATAAGCTTCTGACACCTCTCACCCGGAATTTTGGACCACTCTTCCTTTGCAAACAGCTCCAGGTCTCTCTTATTGGAAGGACACCTTTTCCCAACAGCAATTTTAAGATCTCTCCACAGGTGTTCAATGGGATTTAGATCTGGGCTCATTGCTGGCCACTTCAGAACTCTCCAGCGCTTCTTTGCCATCCATTTCTGAGTGCTTTTTGACGTATGTTTGGGGTCATTGTCCTGCTGGAAGACCCAGGATCTTGGACGCAAACCCAGCTTTCTGACACTGGGCCCTACAGTGCGACCCAAAATCCTTTGGTAATCCTCAGATTTCATGATGCCTTGCACACAGTCAAGGCACCCAGTGCCAGAGGCAGCAAAACAACCCCAAAACATCATTGAACCTCCACCATATTTTACCGTAGGTACTGTGTTTTGTTCTTTGTAGGCCTCATTCCGTTTTCGGTAAACAGTAGAATGATGTGCTTTACCGAAAAGCTCTATCTTGGTCTCATCTGTCCACAAGACGTTTTCCCAGAAGGCTTTTGGCTTACTCAAGTACATTTTGGCAAACTGTAGTCTTGCTTTTTTATGTCTCTGTGTCAGCAGTGGGGTCCTCCTGGGTCTCCTGCCATAGCGTTTCATTTCATTTAAATGTCGACGGATAGTTCGCGCTGACACTGATGCTCCCTGAGCCTGCAGGACAGCTTGAATGTCTTTGGAACATGTTTGGGGCTGCTTATCCACCATCCGGACTATTCTGCGTTGCAATCTTTCATCAATTTTCCTCATCCGTCCACGACCAGGGAGATTAGCTACAGTGCCATGGGTTGCAAACTTCTTGATAATGTTGCGCACTGTGGACAAAGGCAAATCTAGTTCTCTGGAGATGGACTTGTAACCTTGAGATTGTTGATATTTTGCCACAATTTTGGTTCTCAGGTCCTCAGACAGTTCTCGTCTCCTCTTTCTGTTGTCCATGCTTAGTGTGGCACAGACAGACACACAATGCAAAGGTTAAGTGAACGTCTCTCCTTTTTATCTGCTTTCAGGTGTGATTTCTATATTGCCCACACCTGTTACTTGCCCCAGGTGAGTTTACAGGAGCATCACATGCTTGTAACATTCTTATTTATCCGCAGTTGTGAAAGGGTGCCAATACTTTTGTCCAGCCCATTTTTGGAGGTTTGTGTGACATTATGTCGAATTTGCTTTCTTTCCTCCCTTTTTTTGTTTTGTCCCAATACACACAAAGGGAATAAACATGTGTATAGCAAAACATGTGTTAATGCAATACGTTTCGTGAGAAATACATGATTTCCTGGAGAAATATCAAGGGTGCCAACAATTTCGGCCATGACTGTACATTCTGCCGATCACTTTCATATGTATATTTAAAAAAAGGAAAGATCCTTTAAAATGACAGTCTATTCTCTTTAAATGTTTAAATGTCTTCTTTTGTTACATAGTGACCCTATATTAGGTTACGCCGCCGTCTCCCTTTATAAGCAGCTCTGTAGTTTGGACTTCTTTCGCTGCTCATAAAGCCATCTCTAGAGGTTTATAGGTGAGTTATAAGGGTAATAAAAATGAATGGGGAGCTGAAGGATGGCGCGTTTCCTGGTAGCAGCGAAAAGGGAAAGGAGCCCCTAGGTCTGCTCTCTGATTAACCTTCTGAACAAAGAGGGACGAGCACTGGAGCATTGTGGGAAATTCCTGCGCGGTTCTGTCTGTACACTTGTTCCTGAAATAAATCTGTAGCTTTTGGTCGGCTCAATCAATCTTCCAAATTACGTATGTATGTTCTTTCATTTAGTTTATATTGCAAAACATGTTCTTGCTATTCATTTTAAATTCTATTTATTTATTAACCGCGGAGAAGTAATTGAAGCAGAGGAATAAAAACAGACGTCCGTATGAAAATTAGAATTTTTTACAAGAAAAAGGGGGGGAAATTACTAAATAAGGATATGTATTAAATTGTTCACCATTGTTGTATATTTAAACATTTATCCAGTAAAGCGGTACTGAACTCCCCACCCCCCTGGTCTGGTCACATGATCCTCCCCAGTGGCCGGCTTCAGTGAAGAGGAGAGATCGCTGACAACGGCTGCAATGACTGTGAGAGATGTCACCCATAGGCTTTACTATGGGGCATTCGTCGTCGGCTGTCCCTCCTCTACACTGAAACCGGTGCTGAGAGCTAGGGCTGGGACAAGGGGTGGGCAGAAGGGGCGGCTGCCCTGGGCGCAATGGTTTGCTGTAGGTAGGGGGGGGGCGCCTTCCTTCTGTTACAAGGGACAAGAGTAGTGACAGCAGCACAAGAGAGTAACTGCGGGGCGTAGAATCCTTGCACATCATGAACCTGGGAAGGGGGGTGCAGTTTGGCATCTTTTCCCTGGGCGCTGGATGACCTTGTCCTGGCGCTGCTGAGAGCCGAACATGTGACTGGACGGTCACACCCTCAGAATAGGTTCGTATGCGGATCTTTGCTTTATAGGGTAGATAGTATAGGGCTATAATTGGGGTGGGAGCAGATTTAAGTTTAGATAGTTTTTGACTGGTCTTCCACTTGAACCACTTCCCGTCCAGCCGCTGTATATAAAAGGCCAGACGGTGGCAGAACAGGGGCGGGTTGCCGTTCATAAATGGCGCCTGCCATTTTGGATTGTGCGCGCTCCTAGAGAGGACAATCCAAAGGACACAACGGAACACCGATCGCTGTACAGGACCTTTGTGTGAGGTCCCGATCATGTGACCACAGATTGGCCAATCAGTGATCACATGAATAGTAGTAAGCAAGACGCCACTTCTGACATCATTGCTTACTACGTGTGAAATCTGTGAGTGATCACAGAGATCACATGGTACAGGGCTATTCACAACAGCCTTGTACCATGTGACAAGCTGTGACCAATTACAGCTCTCACAGCATTTCTCAATGGCTGCAAGAATGCAGCCAGAGAAGGAGAAATGATTGCTTTTACACCCATAAAGGCTGTAAAAGCAATCAGTGTAAAGAAAAAAAAAAAAAAATCTTCATCACCCCCCACAAGTAGTACAGTGTCACTATGGTGACACTGTACTGCTAGTGTGACAGTATGTAAAAAAATAAATAATATTAAAAAAAAATAAAAATGTAAAAAAAAGTTTAAAAAAATATAATTTTTAGTTATAAACTAATTTGGGTTATTTTTTTTTTTACTAAAAAGATAACTGAATAATTTTTGGCCAAGATTTAAGAAGAAAGATTATTTATTTGCAAAATTTTATAAGAAAAACACTTTTTTTTTTTCAAAATTTTGTGGACATTTTCATTTATATAGCAAAAAATAAATAAAAATCCCAGCGGTGAATAAATACCACCAAAATAAAGTTTTATCTGTCTCAAAAAAATGCTAAAAAATTCATATGGGTACAGTATTGCATGACCGCGCAATTGTCATTCAAAGTGTGATAGCGCTGAAAGCTGAAAATTGGCCTGGACAGAAAGGGGGGGGGGGGAGTCCGGACTGGAAGGGGGGGAAAGTGTCCGGACTGGAAGGGGGGGAAAGTGTCCGGACTGGAAGGGGGGGAAAGTGTCCAGACTGGAAGGGGGGGAAAGTGTCCAGACTGGAAGGGGGGGAAAGTGTCCGGACTGGAAGGGGGGGAAAGTGTCCGGACTGGAAGGGGGGGAAAGTGTCCGGACTGGAAGGGGGGGAAAGTGTCCGGACTGGAAGGGGGGGAAAGTGTCCGGACTGGAAGGGGGGGAAAGTGTCCGGACTGGAAGGGGGGGAAAGTGTCCGGACTGGAAGGGGGGGAAAGTGTCCGCACTGGAAGGGGGGGAAAGTGTCCGCACTGGAAGGGGGGGAAAGTGTCCGCACTGGAAGGGGGGGAAAAGTGTCCTGACTGGAAGGGGGGGAAAGTGTCCGGACTGGAAAGGGGGGGAAAGTGTCCGAACTGGAAGGGGGGGAAAGTGTCCGGACTGGAAGGGAGGGAAAGTGTCCGTACTGGAAGGGAGGGAAAGTGTCCGGACTGGAAGGGGGGGAAAGTGTCCGGACTGGAAGGGGGGGAAAGTGTCTGGACTGGAAGGGGGAGAAAGCGTCCGGACTGGAAGGGGGAGAAAGCGTCCGGACTGGAAGGGGGAGAAAGCGTCCGGACTGGAAGGGGGGGAAAGTGTCCGGACTGGAAGGGGGTGAAAGTGTCCGGACTGGAAGGGGGTGAAAGTGTCTGGACTGGAAGGGGGGGAAAGTGTCTGGACTGGAAGGGGGGGAAAGTGTCCGGACTGGAAGGGGGGGAAAGTGTCCGGACTGGAAGGGGGGGAAAGTGTCCGGACTGGAAGGGGGTGAAAGTGTCTGGACTGGAAGGGGGGGAAAGTGTCCGGACTGGAAGGGGGGGAAAGCGTCTGGACTGGAAGGGGTTAACTCTCTAGTATGTACCAAAATCAGTGATATCTGTTTTGGATCGGCTACATAAATATGACGTGGAGCAGTCTATGATAACAGATCAATAATCTGCACCCCATTGCTGTTGCTGTCTGTAATGGGGTTAACATTCGTATTTCCCTTCCAGGCTGATTGACATAGCGCGGAAGCTGGACAAGGCCGAGCGGGAACCGCTGTCAAGGTGCGCTTACTATTTTAAGAAGCTCCAGCACCATGGCTATGCGGCTGAGACGTACATGAAGATTGGGGATCTGAAGGCCCTGGTCATTCTACATGTGGAGACACAGCACTGGGATGAGGTAAGTGACCATTGCTGTGCTCATAGGGCATTGTATCCAAAATAAGGGAACGTGTCTGAAAGGCGAATCCCAGGTATGGATAGGTTTTACATCGTTACATTGGTCCAACTGGGGTCAGTGTAACTATGCGCGTACCATATCTGTGGGATCGCCGGAGATGCACCACTAAGCTCTGGTTCACAGTAGTGCGGCTTGTCATGCGACTTCAGAATTAGTTGCATTAACAGCAATGGAACAATTTAAATCGCAGTGACTCAAGTTGTAGCGACTTTGAAAAAGGTTCCTGCACTATTTTTGTTCAACTTTATTGCAACTTGCATTGACGTCTGTTAAACAAAGTCTCACAAAGTGTCAGCAAGCCACAATGAAGTCACACTGAATAGTCAGCTTTGAAGTTGCATGAAGTGCGATTTCAAAGCCGCACTGGCCGGAACCAGGGCTAATACAGTGATTTCCACTTGCTTCTGGGTCCTGTGCTGCATTGTGAACTGAGGAGGTCAGCCACTTGGCACAGGTGCTATTCAGAGATTGCCTTGCATTTTCCATAGGTGTGGTATATGCATATATTGGTCCAAGCTGAACCAATGCAACAATGTAAAGGTTGGTATGACTGGAATGTGTCCTTTATGTGAATCTGTGTTTTGCCTAAGCAGTACAAATCGACAGGTTTGCTCTAATCCAGACTCATCACCTTACTAACCGTTCCATATCTGCCATCCCTCTCTGCCAATCCCTCCACTGGTCTCCACTCAGTGTCCTCCACCCCTCTCTGCCAATCCCTCCACTGGTCTCCACTCAGTGTCCTCCACCCCTCTCTGCCAATCCCTCCACTCAGTGTCCTCCACCCCTCTCTGCCAATCCCTCCACTGGCCTTCACTCAGTGACCTCCACCCCTCTCTGCCAATCCCTCCACTGTCCTCCACTCAGTGTCCTCCACCCCTCTCTGCCAATCCCTCCACTCTGTGCCCTCCACCCCTCTCTGCCAATCCCTCCACTCAGTGTCCTCCACCCCTCTCTGCCAATCCCTCCACTGGCCTTCACTAAGTGACCTCCACCCCTCTCTGCCAATCCCTCCACTGTCCTCCACTCAGTGTCCTCCACCCCTCTCTGCCAATCCCTCCACTCAGTGTCCTCCACCCCTCTCTGCCAATCCCTCCACTGGCCTCAATTCAGTGTCTTCCACCCAGTGTCCTCCATCCCTCTCTGCCATTCCCTCCACTGTCCTCCACTCCGTGTCTTCCACCCAGTGTCCTCCACCCCTCTCTGCCAATCCCTCCACTGACCTCCACTCAGTGTCCTCCATCCCTCTCTGCCAATCCCTCCACTCAGTGTCCTCCATCCCTCTCTGCCAATCCCTCCACTGGCCTCCACTCAGTGCCCTCCATCCCTGTCTGCCAATCCCTCCACTGACCTCCACTCGGTGTCCTCCACCCCTCTCTGCCAATCCCTCCACTGCCTTCCCATTGCCCAACAAATAAAATTCAAAACATTAACAATAACATATAAAGCCATTTATAACTCCGCCCCAAATTATATCATCAATCTTGTCTCCAAATATCACTCAAACCGTCCTGTTCGCTCCTCCCACGACCTCCTGCTCTCTAGCTCCCTTGACTCCTCCTCCCATGCTCATCTCCAGGACTTCTCCAGAGCTTCCCCCATCCTTTGGAACTCTCTACCCTAATCTATCAGACTATCGCCTACTCTGCTCACTTTTAGGCGATCTCTGAAAACCTCTCTCTTCAGGGAAGCCTATCCTGCCCTCAGCTAATAATGGAATCTTCTACTCCTCCTACCAGTCCATCCCCCCACAGTTATTACCTTTTCTACCACTAGCCCCTCCCTCTTAGATTGTAAGCTTCCAGGATCAGGACCCTCCTATCCCTCTTGTATTGAACTGTATTGTTGCTGTATTGTCTCCCGTTATAATGTAAAGTGCTGAGCAAACTGTTGGCGCCATAAATCCTGTATAATAATAATAATATATAAATCCTGTATAATAATAATAATAATATATAAATCCTGTATAATAATAATAATATATAAATCCTGTATAATAATAATAATAATATATAAATCCTGTATAATAATAATAATATATAAATCCTGTATAATAATAATAATAATAATATATAAATCCTGTATAATAATAATAATATATAAATCCTGTATAATAATAATAATAATATATAAATCCTGTATAATAATAATAATATATAAATCCTGTATAATAATAATAATAATATATAAATCCTGTATAATAATAATATATATATAAATCCTGTATAATAATAATAATGCAGACTTTCACAGATGTAACTCTTAACGTCCCACCAATCCCTCCCCCATTCCTTATAGCCATTGTGAATGAAAAAAAAAAGTGTATAGGCTATGAGTGGCAGGAGTTGTAACTTATGCAGGGCTCTGGACTCCGAACTTGATAGCACCGACAGGCCTAGTACTGTCACATGTTCCTCTATAAACAGAAGTAATGGGTATTTTTTTTGGCTCACATTGCTGAACAGAGCAGCAAAGGAAAGGTAAGTATACGCAATATGGCCAAACGTATGTGCACACCCTTCCAAATGACCGCGTTCAGGTGTTCTCCAGTGAGGAGGTACTGTTAATGCTACAGCATACTAAGAAATGTTAGACGATTATGCGCGTCCAACTTTTTGGTAACAAATAGGAGCAAGGCTCTGTTCTGTTCCAGCTTGGCTGTGCCGCTGTGTACAAATCCAGCTCCATAAATGCACAGTGTGACCAGTTTGGGGTGGAGGAACTTTTATGTCCTTCACAGAGCCCAGACCTGAACTCTACTGAACACTTTTGGGATGAAACGAATGCCAATGGCGAGCCAGATCTTCTTGTCCAACATCTGTACAAATCTCTTTCTGGGCAAATTCCCCCAGGGTCACTCCAAATCTGATGGAAAGCCCTCCCAGAAGAGTGAAGCTGCTATGGGCACACAAGATATGGGGTGGGCAACTCCATATTAATACCTGAGAGTTTGGAATGGGATGTCCAACAGGCTCATATAAGTGGGGTAAGCTGTCCACAAACCTTTGGCCATGTTGTTAAAGTGGAACTTCATTCTTCTCAATCAACATCGACTATTTTCAATTCTTACGCTGCTAGTATTAGTAAAGAGATAGGAAGGTATATTATATTATTATTATGCAGGATTTATATATAGCGCCAACAGTTTGCTCAGCGCTTTACAATATTGTACTTTTTTTTTTTTTTTTTTTTTTTTTTTTTACATTTCTTCAGTTACGTCCTGGTTTCCAGGCCTAGGTAAATTATGTCATATGTCCCAGGAGTTTTCAGGAGGGGAGGAGGGGGCTTTCTCTGTTAAGCACACCCTCCTGCCTACATGCCTGAGCTAAGGGCAAATGGATTCCACAAAGTAAATGATACTTGAATCATCTGCTCTTACTCAAGTTGACCACAGCTAGAAATGCCGGGGGGGGGGGGGGGGGGGGGGGGGGGGGGGGGTTTTTCTCAGCAAAATTAAAGCGTAGACATGAATGGATAGGGGGAATATGCTTTGAATATTAAAAATTAATTAAATAGTGTTTTTGTTTTGTGGTGTTCAGATGCCGTGCAGTTCTGATTTAATGCTGCTAGGGATGGAGGATTAAAGCCAAACAAACCAAAGGATTATTCCTGGAACGTTGGTGTGTAACACTTTTTGGTTCCTGCACTTCCAGTTCCATAGCGGCTAATTTTTAAAGGCTACTGTAATGAAAAGTGTCTGTATTGTCCAAACGGAGCAGACGCATTCCATCTGTCATTTTCCTGGTAGAAATTTAGAAGGTCAGCAAATATTTTCCGCTGGCAACTCTTCAGTCACAAGTTCTTTCTTTAATTGGCCTGGCCTGTTTTGACTAAACAGCAGGGCAGCCATTTTTTTTGCTGGTCTGCGGCTTACATGCTTTATGTAAATTCTTCTCAGGCCTTCCTCCTGGTAGAGAAATATCCAGAATATAAGGACGAGGTGTATGTCCCCTATGCCCAGTGGCTGGCAGAGAATGACCGCTTTGAGGAAGCTCAGAAAGGTAAGTAAACCTCCTAAAATTGTGTGTATGTGTATATATATGTATATATGTGTGTGTATATATTTATGTGTGTGTTATATATATATATATACAGTTGCAAGAAAAAGTATGTGAACCCATTGGGATTACGTGGAGTTTTGCATGAATTGGGCATAAAATGTGCTCTGAACGTCATCTAAGTCACAACAATAGAAGAACACAGTCTGCTGAACATAATACTACACAAACATTAGATGTTGCCATGGTTTAATTGCACATAACATGTAAACATTCACAGTGCAGGGAGGAAAAAGTATGTGAGGCCCTAGCTTAATGACTTCTCCCAGAGCTAATTGGAGCCAGGAGTGAGCCAACCTTGACTCCAATCAGTGTGATGATATTGGATGTGTTGCTGACAGCTGTCCTGCCCTTAAAAAATACACACCTGTTTTGGGTTTACTGGTTTCAAGAAGCACTGTCTGATGTGAACCATGCCTCGCAGAAAAGATCTCTCAGAAGACCTACGATCAAGAATTGTTGACTTGCATGAAGCTGGAAAGGGTTACAAAAGTATTTCCAAAAGCCTTGATGTTCATGTGTCCACGGTAAGACAGACTGTCTACAAATGGAGAAAGTTTAGCACTGTTGCTACTCTCCCTAGGCGTGGTCGTCCTGTAAAAATGACTGCAAGACCACAGCGCAGAATGCTGCATGAGGTAAAGAAGAATCCCAGAGTGTCAGCTAAAGACCTACAGAAATCTCTGGCACATGCTAACATTTTTGTTGACACATCTACAATAAAGAAAACATTAAACAAGAATGGAGTACATGGGAAGACACCACGGAGGAAGCCATTGCTGTCCAAAAAGAATATTGCAGCACGTTTGAAGTTTGCAAAAGAGCACCTGGATGTTCCACAGCACTACTGGCAAAAATATACTGTGGACAGATGACACCAAGATTGAGTTGTTTGGGAAGAACACACAACACTATGTGTGGAGAAAAAAAGACACAGCACACCAACATCAAAACCTCATCCCCACTGTGAAACATGGCGGAGGGAGCATCATGGTTTTTGGGGCTGCTTTGCTGCCTCAGGGCCTGGACGGATTGTTGTTATTGATGGGAAAATGAATTCCAGAGTTTATCAAGACATTTTGCAGGAAAACGTACAACCATCTGTCCGCCAACTGAAGCTCCGCAGAGGATGGGTGATGCAACAGGACAATGACCCAAAGCATACAAGTAATTCAACAAAACAATGGCTGCAACAGCACAGAATATGCCTTCTGGAGTGGCCCAGTCAGAGTCCTGACCTCAACCCCGATTGAAATGCTGTGGCATGACCTTAAGAGAGCGATTCACAACAGACATCCCAAGAATATTGCTACACTGAAACAGTTTTGTGAAGAGGAGTGGTCCAAAATTACTCCAGATCGTTGTGCAGGTCTGATCTGAAACTACAGGAAACGTTTGGTTGAGGTTATTGCTGCCAAAGGAGGGTCAACCAGTTATTAAATCCAAAGGTTCACATACTTTTTTCCTCCCTGCACTGTGAATGTTTACATGTTATGTGCAATTAAACCATGGCAACATCTAATGTTTGTGTAGTATTATGTTCAGCAGACTGTGTTCTTCTATTGTTGTGATTTAGATGACGTTCAGAGCACATTTTATGCCCAATTCATGCAAAACTCTACGTAATCTCAATGGGTTCACATACTTTTTCTTGCAACTGTGTATATATATATATATGTATATATATATGTATATATATATGTATATGTATATATATATATATATATATATATATATATATATATATATATATATATATATATATATATATATAAAATCAGCATAAATGAGTACATCCCAACAGGTTTGTCAGAAAACCTTCACTTTCCTTTCAGAATTCACATTTTCTATGGGACAGTATGTTACAAAATTCTCCCACAAATGTAGGCCATTGATTGCCGACCAGATTTGCTAATTTGCACCAACAAAAAAACTATTTTTCCAACCAAATTCATTCAAGACCATGTTGCAGGAATAGAGAGAAAACAGGTGGCGCGCACACACCTAGTGCATTATCCAAGGTTTATTGTAAGGAGTGAAAGAATAATAAAACATACTCACAGACGAAGCATGTATCTAAAAAGCATAGAAAAATGACAATGGCCACAACGGCAGGCAAGGTGTTCTCACTGTCAGTGCGGTCAAATGGCTGACGTGTTTCGGGGACGAATCCCTTTCCTCAGAGCTGATGACCAGCCTCTGATGCTGATGTATGATGAATGGAAAGTAAGAGCCTTGCTGTTGATGCCTCATAATAATGCATTAGGTGTGTGCGCCACCTGTTTTCTCTCTATCCAGTGGCTGATTTCCCCGTCTGAGGAGGGCTGCACCCCTGAAGCATTTTCTTTGGTTGTTGCTGTCCTGGTACCCTTGACTTCCCTTTTGGCTGTGCATATCCTGAGGCGCTGGAGAGTACATACGATATCCGGTTCATGTTGCAGGAATGAATACACCCCAATGAAAATCTTAGGAACAAAGCTAAATTTTAGACAACTAAATCCTAATTAACAAGAATTCAACTACAGGCGAGTCTAATTATTCATTAAACCGGTGTCCAGCAGACAGTTGATTATAAAAGGGCGTTACTTAACAAAGAAAACCCCGCCCATTTCATGATGTCAGCAATGGCACCACATGGAAGAGAAAAGTCACAAGGCCTGAGGAAGAAAATCATTTCTTTACACAAGAAAGGTGAAGGCTACAAGAAGATCTGCAAAGCTTTACTGATCAGTCAGAATACTGTAGCAAAAGTGATACAAAGATGGAACTGCAACCATCTCTCAGAGACGTCCAGGCCATCCATGGAAGTTAACACCTCAACAGGAGCGTGTTTTGATGAAAAGGGTTGAAGAAAATCTCCATCCAAGATCGCTGCAGTTAGCTAAAGAAGTAGAAAGCCAAACTTGGGTGATTGTTTCCCTTGAAACCAGCAACAATGGACACTCATCCCAGTAACAGTGTGTGTGTGTGTATGTATGTATGTATGTGTGTATATATATATATATATATATATATATATATATATATATATATATATATATATATATATATATATATATATATATATATATATATTATATAATATTGGTTTTGAAAGCTTCATTTGTCCCTTTTGCACCGTAGCCTTTCACAAAGCCGGTCGCCAGGATGAGGCCGTCCGAGTGCTGGAGCAGCTTACCCATAATGCCGTGGTGGAAAGCAGGTTTAATGACGCTGCTTATTATTACTGGATGCTGTCCATGCAGTGTCTGGAAATTGCACAAGGTGCGTAGAAACTTCATGTAAACCATTTGTTTACCAGATTATGGAAATGTTCCCTTCAAATGATTCAATGTTAGCTGATGATAAATAATATAAAGACATTCCACATATCATGATTTCTTTTATTTTTTAATTCTACTTATCTAAGAAATATATTTTGTTCTGTTCGATCACAGCTCAGTTCTGTGGATGGGTCAGCTCTTGTCAATGTAGCCTCCCTAGCGGTCTGATTATGTCAGTATTTCTGTGCTCAAAGCGGTACATTTTTTTGCATGGAAATATGTATTTTTTTTTTTATTGCAGGCCTGTAATTTTTAGGAATAACTCACTGAAATCTGTCCGAACAAGAGTCTAGTAAACATCCCGGGGAGGATAAAATTTGAAACACGAAATCATAAATTATAATTTAATAAATAACCATAAAAAAATAATAATATAATAATAATAAATTTAATTCAATAATATAATCAAACCAAAAACACTGAAATGTGAAATAGAGCGCCAAGTTCGCACATCGCTGAGCTCAGTCGCAGAATCGTTTTCAGTGTCTGATGAGGAATTTCCCCCAAACACGAATTCTTCTGCGCTCTAGGACCCAGGCAGGTGGCAAATAGATGGAACCAGAACTAGAAAAACAGCGGCCACCAGTGCTTCAAAGGTTGTGCAGCTCCAAACAAGGCTGGGGAAACCCGACCAACACTGCAAAGCGAAATAAAAACGAGAAGCGCACAAACCTTGCGCATTACCTCAGTAAACAGAAATAAACCTTCTGATGAAGAAGGTCTGGCCTTCGAAACGCGTCAGATGAACTGAGTGCTTACCCCCACGATGGGACTCGCGCTGGCCCTCTATCTCTGAAGTCCCTGTGAGGACTTACATGCCTGATTTTATTCGCTGTTTGTGAGTACCTTTCTTTTTAATAAATTTCTGTTTACTGAGGTAATGCGCAAGGTTTGTGAGGAATTTCCCCCACCAATCATTATCACTCAATTCTGCAAGTGGTTCTGATTTACTATCGCTGTTCTCTAGCCGGTCTAAAACCGCGTCTGACCTAAAGGGACGCTTTTTGGACGCCATGGACGTTTCTCAGTTTCCAGGCAGAAAGAACAGTAAAAATGCAGGCAGGGCGCCGGACAAAGCACTCGGGACAAAATGTATGTGAAATGGTTTGATACAGGAATGTTATACTATGTGATTTTAGTGAATGTCACTTTTTGACATTTTTAAACTTCCCGCCAGTTCCGTCCCCCGTACGTCCCGACGTTGCAGGGAACGGAACCCGGAAGACAGATGCCGGCATCGGCCGGAGGACATTACAGGGGACACTGCAGGGGGGACATCGCAGGAGCGCAGGACAAGGTAAGTGAAGAAGGGATCCCGGAGCAACGCTGCAGTGTATTCCCGAATGTAGCTCGGGGGGGGGGTTACCGCTTCTGGTGCTGAAACTTTACCCCGAGCTACACTCGGGAATACCGCCAGGAGGGTTAAAGAACTGCTCCTATATATGCCCCTACTATGAAATCGTGACACGGGTTCAGCACGGTGTTATATGTTTTTTTGGTAGGATTGTAATACTGTTCTGGATACCACACAGGAAATAGGGGAAAATCTGGAATACTGACTGCAACAAAAATCAGAAACGGGTCCTAGTCTTCATCCACTCTATACAAAACTTAAAAAATAGTTTGCTTACATGCTTAGTAATTTGATTTTCCAACCTTAGAATAAAACATGCAAATCCATTGCAGTAGCTTAAACCTGAACTTCAGGCAAACAGGTGAATACAAAGAATTAATACAGATAAGGAGCTGTTTTATCTGCCAAAGGATTTGTTTTTCTGTCCTTCCACTCCTGAGATTTGCACAGCCCTGTTTGACAGGGTAGGAGACCTAATTGTTCTTTTTCTGAAGTTAAGTTACACTGACAGATCCTGTCTCTCCCCCAGCTTGTGAATGAATGGTGAAGGGAGAAGCAGCAGACGGATCAGCTCATCTTTCACTCTGCTCTCTCCTCATGTCAGCATGTTCATTGTTAGCCCATGAGCACTGTCACACAAATAATTGGCTCCTTTTCCCTCTCCCAGTCTGAGATCTGCTGTGCAAGGTTTTGCAAAAGCAGGTCAAATTCTCATTGCTTGTATTTTTAAAATAAATTTAATAATGTGTTTACAAATACAGAGCTGCAGTAATTTGTGTCTTTTACATCTGCCTGGAGCTGGGCTTTAATACTGAAATAAGGACATTTAAGGGAGAAGCATAGCCAAAGCTATTTTGCCTTTACATCTCCTGGGGATCACAGGAGTGCAGTTCATTCTGCATTCCTATGACCTGTTTCAGCTGACTGCAGCTTAAAGCCCATTGTCTGCTGAGGTCACTCAGCATGATCAGGAATGATCCCTACTTTAGAGTTAGGATGCACCCAAATGCCTGGGCCAGCACCTAGCTCAACCTTTCAGCGAGGCGCGCTGCAAGCTGGAGCCGCTGAGATCCTGAGCCAGCCGATCCCGCCCCCTCCATAGCCTGCCGCTCCCGCCCCCTCCATAGCCTGCCACTGCCACCCCCTTCAAAACCTGCCGCTCCCACCCTCTCCATAGCCTGCCGCTCCCACCCTCTCCATAGCCTGTCGCTCCCACCCTCTCCATAGCCTGCCGCTCCCACCCCCTCCATAGCCTGCTGCTGCCACCCCCTTCATAGCCTGCCGCTCCCGCCCCTTCCATAGCCTGCCCCTCCCGCCCCTTCCATAGCCTGCCCCTCCCGCCCCTTCCATAGCCTGCCCCTCCCGCCCCCCTCCATAGCCAGCCGCTCCCGCCCCCTCCATAGCCAGCCGCTCCCGCCCCCTCCATAGCCAGCCGCTCCCGCCCCCTCCATAGCCAGCCGCTCCCACCCCCTCCATAGCCTGCCACTCCCACCCCCTCCATAGCCTGCCGCTCCAGTAACCACTGGAGGGACAGAGCAAAGAGACGGTGACTAACAGTCACCAGCTCACTGAAGACCAAGCACTGAGCAATCAGCAGTCTTTGATCACTCAGTTCTCAGTACTAGAAGCGGCGGGGGATAGATGCAGCATCAGACTGATGTTGCATCTACCTAGGTGACCTGTTTCAGCTGACTGCAGCCTAAAGCCCATTGTCTGCTGAGATCACTCAGCATGATCAGGAATGATCCCTACTTTAGAGTTAGGATGCACCCAAATGCCTGGGCCAGCACCTAGCTCAACCTTTCAGCGAGGCGCTGCAAGCTGGAGCCGCTGAGATCCTGAGCCAGCCGCTCCTGCCCCCTCCATAGCCTGCAGCTCCCGCCCCCTCCATAGCCTGCCGCTCCCGCCCCCTCCATAGCCTGCCGCTCCCGCCCCTCCCCCTCCATAGCCTGCTGCTCCCGCCCCCTCCATAGCCTGCCGCTCCCGCCCCCTCCATAGCCTGCCGCTCCCGCCCCCTCCATAGCCAGCCGCTCCCGCCCCCTCCATAGCCAGCCGCTCCCGCCCCTCTCCATAGCCTGCCGCTCCCACCCCCTCCATACCCTGCCGCTCCCGCCCCCTCCATAGCCTGTCGCTCCAGTAACCACTGGAGGGACAGAGCAAAGAGATGGTGACTTACAGTCACCAGCTCACTGAAGACCAAGAACTGAGCAATCAGCAGTCTTTGATCACTCAGTTCTCAGTACTAGAAGCGGCGGGGGATAGATGCAGCATCAGACTGATGTTGCATCTACCTAGGTGAGTATAAATGTTTTTTATTTTTCCTTAAACCAAAATTCTCTTTTAGACCTCATTTAGACATGTGGTTGGGGGGGTGGTAAAAAATGAACAGTTGATCCACGATTTTACTGCCTTCTTTAAGCTGCAAAAGGCGGGGGCATTTACTTTATGTTCTCACAGTGGTTTGCTTCGTACCCACGGAAAAAAACTACCCAACATCGGCTGGGGGCAAGCCCACTGACTGTGACCCATTCGGGAGAACGAGGAAGCGCAGAAAAACACCCACACAGTTGCTGCGCGTTTGTTGGCAAAAATGGGGTAAAACGGGCAATGAGAAGGCATGTGTCAATTGCCTCTGAAAAACAATCCGAACGTAAATCTCATGTTAGTGGAAAGGTAGATTTAAACTCATGTCAAAATCTACCCTTAGGGACATATTTATAAAGCAGTGAATCTGACATTCAGCAAACATTCTCTGTTGGTGAACCTAGCGGGTCCATGTGGTTTAAATGACAGCGATGGATTCTCCACCAGAGAACATTCGGTGAAAGTCCGCTTCACCGCTTTATAAACAGACCCCCTTGATTAAAAGAAATCATACAGCACAAGCTTTGCACAGAATAGTTTATCTACGTGAGCTCAGAGGCTTTGTAATGTCACTGAATCCAAAATCTGCAGGGATGGTCTATAGGAAGCTGCATGTTGTGCTAATGATTCACCATTGACTTCTTCCTGCAGATAAAGAGGACAAACAGGAAGCCATGCTACAGAAGTGTCACTATTTCCAGCATCTGGCCGAGCTCTATCATGCCTACCACTCCGTACAGAGATATACAGTTGAGTATCTGACTATGAAAAAAAAAAACAAAGGGGACCTGTGATTGACCCGAAGCCCCCCCCAGATCCCTCATTTCCTCTTACCATGTCCTGCCCTTATTATACACCAAAACTTTGTATGTTTTTCAATGCTGTTTTTAAAGAATAAATGGTAAGTAAAGATGCCTGAAAGGCATTGCTGCATGGTTGGGTTAGGTTGAGACAAAAAAAAACCACAAGTCTCTCTCTCTCTCGATCTCTCTCTCTCGATCTCTCTCGATCTCTATCTCTCGATCTTTCTCTCTCTCTCGATCTCTCGATCTCTATCTCGATCTCACTCTCTCGATCTCTCTCTACCTATCTCTCGACCCATCTGTCTCTCAATCTCTCTCTCGATCGATCTCACTCTCTGTTTCTCTTGATCTCACTCTCTCTTTCTCTTGATCTCTCTCTCTTTCTATTGATCTCACTCACTCTCTCTCTCTCTCTCCCTCTCTCGATCTCTCTCTCGACCTCTCTCTCTATCTCTCAATCTCCCTCTCTCTCTCGATCTCAATCTCTCGATCTCTCAATCTCTCTCAATCGCTCTCTCTCTATCTCTCTCTCTTGATCTCTTAATCTCCCCCTCTCTCTCTTGATCTCTCAATCTCCCCCTCTCTCTCTCGATCTCTCAATCTCCCTCTCTCTCTCGATCTCTCAATCTCCTCTCTCTCTCTCGATCTCTCAATCTCCCTCTCTCTCTCGATCTCTCAATCTCCCTCTCTCTCTCGATCTCTCAATCTCCCTCTCTCTCTCGATCTCTCAATCTCCCTCTCTTTCTCGATCTCTCAATCTCCCTCTCTCTCTCGATCTCTCAATCTCCCTCTCTCTCTCTCATCTCTCAATCTCCCTCTCTCTCTCGATCTCTCAATCTCCCTCTCTTTCTCGATCTCTCAATCTCCCTCTCTTTCTCGATCTCTCAATCTCCCTCTCTCTCTCGATCTCTCAATCTCCCTCTCTCTCTCGATCTCTCAGTCTCCTCTCTCTCTCTCGATCTCTCAATCTCCCTCTCTTTCTCGATCTCTCAATCTCCCTCTCTTTCTCGATCTCTCAATCTCCCTCTCTCTCTCGATCTCTCAATCTCCCTCTCTCTCTCGATCTCTCAATCTCCCTCTCTCTCTCGATCTCCTAATCTCCCTCTCTCTCTCGATCTCCTAATCTCCCTCTCTCTCTCGATCTCCTAATCTCCCTCTCTCTCTCGATCTCCTAATCTCCCTCTCTCTCTCGATCTCTCAATCTCCCTCTCTCTCTCGATCTCTCTCTCTCGATCTCCTAATCTCCCTCTCTCTCGATCTCTCAATCTCCCTCTCTCTCTCGATCTCTCAATCTCCCTCTCTCTCTCGATCTCTCAATCTCCCTCTCTCTCTCGATCTCTCAATCTCCCTCTCTCTCTCGATCTCTCAATCTCCCTCTCTTTCTCGATCTCTCAATCAATCTCCCTCTCTCTCTCGATCTCTCAATCTCCCTCTCTCTCTCGATCTCTCAATCTCCCTCTCTCTCTCGATCTCTCAATCTCCCTCTCTTTCTCGATCTCTCAATCTCCCTCTCTCTCTCGATCTCTCAATCTCCCTCTCTCTCTCGATCTCTCAATCTCCCTCTCTCTCTCGATCTCCTAATCTCCCTCTCTCTCTCGATCTCCTAATCTCCCTCTCTCTCTCGATCTCCTAATCTCCTCTCTCTCTCGATCTCCTAATCTCCCTCTCTCTCTCGATCTCCTAATCTCCCTCTCTCTCTCGATCTCTCAATCTCCCTCTCTCTCTCGATCTCTCTCTCTCGATCTCCTAATCTCCCCCTCTCTCTCGATCTCTCAATCTCCCTCTCTCTCTCGATCTCTCTCTCTCGATCTCCCTCTCTCTCTCGATCTCTCGATCTCCCTCTCTCTCTCGATCTCTCGATCTCCTCTCTCTCTCTCGATCTCCCTCTCTCTCTAGATCTCTCGATCTCCCTCTCTCTCTAGATCTCCCTCGATCTCCCTCTCTCTCTCGATCTCTCGATCTCCCTCTCTCTCTCGATCTCTCAATCTCCCTCTCTCTCTCGATCTCCCTCTCTCTCTAGATCTCTCGATCTCCCTCTCTCTCTAGATCTCCCTCGATCTCCCTCTCTCTCTCGATCTCTCGATCTCCCTCTCTCTCTCGATCTCTCAATCTCCCTCTCTCTCGATTTATCTCTATCTCTCTTTCGATCTCTTAGTCTCTCTCTCTCGATCCAATTTGCTCCAGCGGGGAAATATTTTTTTCCTGATCCCCAGGAGGCAATTGGATATTTCCTGGATCATCTACCTCTGGTGTTATTACCTATAAATGTTAGTATCCAGGTATACTGCATTTAGGAATACATCCTTTCAGCTCTTTTTTTATAACAATGTGCTGAGCTGGCCAGAACTAGTTCTTGAGGGAATCTATTCCAAATTGTCACAACTCTTACTGTAAAGAAGCCTTTCCATATGTGGATGTTAAATCTCTTTTCCTCCAGAGGTAAAGAGAGCCTCCCCATCCTCTGTGCTGAGTTATTCACTTTCAGGTCATTACAAAGTTACCTATATGGACCACCTATGTATATTTACATGGTGATCATATGCCCCCTTATGTATTATACATGGTGATCATATCCCCCCTTATGTATTATACATGGAGATCATATCCCCCTTATGTATTATACATGGAGATCATATCCCCCCTTATGTATTATACATGGAGATCATATCCCCCTTATGTATTATACATGGAGATCATATCCCCCCTTATGTATTATACATGGAGATCATATCCCCCCTTATGTATTATACATGGAGATCATATCCCCCCCTTATGTATTATACATGGAGATCATATCCCCCCTTATGTATTATACATGGAGATCATATCCCCCCTTATGTATTATACATGGTGATCATATCCCCCCTTATGTATTATACATGGAGATCATATCCCCCTTATGTATTATACATGGAGATCATATCCCCCCTTATGTATTATACATGGTGATCATATCCCCCCTTATGTATTATACATGGAGATCATATCCCCCTTATGTATTATACATGGAGATCATATCCCCCCTTATGTATTATACATGGAGATCATATCCCCCCTTATGTATTATACATGGAGATCATATCCCCCTTATGTATTATACATGGAGATCATATCCCCCTTATGTATTATACATGGAGATCATATCCCCCCTTATGTATTATACATGGAGATCATATCCCCCTTATGTATTATACATGGAGATCATATCCCTCCTTATGTATTATACATGGTGATCATATCCCCCCTTATGTCTTATACATGGAGATCATATCCCCCCTTATGTATTATACATGGTGATCATATCCCCCCTTATGTCTTATACATGGAGATCATATCCCCCCTTATGTATTATACATGGAGATCATATCCCCCCTTATGTATTATACATGGAGATCATATCCCCCCTTATGTATTATACATGGAGATCATATCCCCCCTTATGTATTATACATGGAGATCATATCCCCCCTTATGTATTATACATGGAGATCATATCCCCCCTTATGTATTATACATGGAGATCATATCCCCCCTTATGTATTATACATGGAGATCATATCCCCCCTTATGTATTATACATGGAGATCATATTCCCCCTTATGTATTATACATGGAGATCATATCCCCCCTTATGTATTATACATGGAGATCATATCCCCCCTTATGTATTATACATGGAGATCATATTCCCCCTTATGTATTATACATGGAGATCATATCCCCCCCCTTATGTATTATACATGGAGTCATATCCCCCTTATATATTATACATGGAGATCATATCCCCCCCTTAATCTCCTCAAGAGAGAATAAATTCAATTCCTCTGATCTTTCTTCATATCGGAGCTTCTCCATGCCTCCTATAAGTTTGGTTGCCCTTCTCTGCACTAAATTTCCCTGATAATCCTTTTTGTGAATTGGAGCCCAAAACTGAACTGCATATTCCAGATGAGGTCATCCTAATGATTTGTAAAGATGATGTCTCTCTCTATGGAGTCCATACCTTTTTATAAAAGAGAGGGTTTTTCTTGCTATAGAAGTTGCAGCTTGGCATTGCATGCTAATATTAAGTCTATGATCTACCAGAACAGCCCCAGATCCTTCTCCACCATTGACTCCCACAGCTGTTCTCCTCCTAGTATGTATAATGTGCTCATGGTTATAACCACAAGTGTAGAACTTTACTTTTATCAACATTAAACCTCATTTGCCATATACAGTGCCTTGAAAAAGTATTCATACCCCTTGAAATTTTCCACATTTTGTCATGTTACAACCAAAAACGCAAATGTATTTTATTGGGATTTGATGTGATAGACCAACACAAAGTGGCACATAATTGTGTAGTGGAAGGAAAATGAGAAATGGTTTTCAAAATTTTTTACAAGGAAACATTTCTGAAAAGTGTGGCGGCATTTGTATTCAGCCCCCCGGAGTCAATACTTTGTAGGACCCCCTTTCACTGCAATGCCAACTGCAGGTCTTTTTGGGGATGTCTCTACCAGCTTTGCACATCTCGAGAGTGAAATGTTTGCCCATTCTTCTTTGCAAAGTAGCTCAAGCTCCGTCAGATTGGATGGAGAGCATCTGGGAACAGCAATTTTCAAGTCTTGCCGCAGATTCTCAATTGGATTTGGGTCTGGACTGTGACTGGGCCATTCTAACACTTGAATATGCTATGATCCAAACCATTCCATTGTAGCTCTGGCTGGATGTTTGGGGTCGTTGTCCTGCTGGAAGGGGAACCTCCGCCCCGGTCTCAAGTCTTTTGCAGACTAACAGGTTTTTCTTCTAAGATTGCCTTGTATTTGGCTCCATCCGTCTTCCCATCAACCCTGACCAGCTTCCCTGTCCCTGCTGAAGAAGGGCATCCCCACAACATGCTGTGTTCAGGGTGATAGTCAGTGTTAGCTTTCCCCCACACATAGTGTTTTGCTTTTAGGCCAAAAAGTTCCATTTTGGTCTCCTCTGACCAGAGCCCCTTCTTCCACATGTTTGCTGTGTCCCACATGGCTTCTCACAAACTGCAAACTGGACTTCTTATGGCTTTCTTCCAACAATGGCTTTCTTCTTGTCACTCTTCCATAAAGGCCAGATTTGTGGAGTGACGACTAATAGTTGTCCTGAGGACAGATTCCCCCACCTGAGCTGTGGATCTCTGCAGCTCCTCCAGAGTTCCCATGGGCCTCTTGGCTGCTTCTCTGATGAATGCTCTCCTTGCCGGCCTGTCAGTTTAGGTGGACGGCCATGTCTTGGTAGGTTGGCAGTTGTGCCATACTCTTTCCATTTTCAGACGATGGATTGAACAGTGCTCTATGAGATGTTCAAAGCTTGTGATATTTTTTTTATAACCTAACCATGCTTTAAACTTCTCCACAACTTTATCCTTGACCTGTCTGGGGTGTGTTCCTTGGCCTTCATGATACTCTTTGTTCACTAATTGTTCACAGAACAGCTGTATTTATACTGAGATTACATTACACATCGGTGTACTTTATTTACTAATTAGGTGACTTCTGAAGGCAATTTGCTCTACTAGATTTTAGTTAGGGGTGTCAGAGTAAAGGGGACTGAATACAAATGCACGCCACACTTTTACATATTTATTTGTCAAACATTTTGAAAACAATTTATCACTTTCTTTCCACTTCACAATTATTTGGCCCTTTGTGTTGGTCTATCACAGTGGTGGGCAACCTTTTTTTTCAGCTGAGCCAAATCTCGCCAAAACCACGATTGCAATTTATTTTGAGAGCCACATTTTTAAAACTGAAAATACATCTCCCATATAGTAATTCATCCCCCATAGTAATTCATCCCCCATATAGTAATTCATCCCCCATAGAGTAATTCATCCCCCATAGAGTAATTCATCCCCCATATAGTAATTCATCCCCCATAGTAATTCATCCCCCATAGTAATTCATCCCCCATATAGCAATTCATCCCCCATATAGTAATTCATCCCCCATATAGTAATTCATCCCCCATATTAATTCATCCCCCATATAGTAATTCATCCCCCATAGTAATTCATCCCCCCATAGTAATTCATCCCCCATAGTAATTCATCCCATATAGTAATTCATCCCCCCCATAGTAATTCATCTCCCATATAGTAATTCATCTCCCATATAGTAATTCATCCCCCATATAGTAATTCATCCCACATATAGTAAGTCCCCCATATAGTAAGTCCCCCCCCATATAGTAAGTCCCCCCCCATATAGTAAGTCCCCCCCCATATAGTAAGTCCCTCCCCATATAGTAAGTCCCCCCCCATATAGTAAGTCCCCCATATAGTAATTCATCCCCCATATAGTAAGTCCCCCCCCATATAGTAAGTCCCCCCATATAGTAAGTCCCCCATATAGTAATTCATCCCCCATATAGTAAGTCCCCCCTGTGTCAATTCACTTACCTTTGCTCCGCGCGTTCCTCTCGCCGTGCTTCCCGCGCCGTTCTGGTCTTCAGGGCAGACTGTGAGAGGAGAGGAGTTCGTCACGCTGCCCCGCCTACATCCTGGCTGCCCCGCCTACATCCTGACAGCTGCAGAGTCCTGACTTTTGGGGCGGCCGCCCGAGAGGAGGGAGGGGAGCGGGCGGCCGTCCGAGAGGAGGGAGGGGAGGTGAGGGGGCGGCTGCCCTGCACACGCCCGTCCGAGAGGAGGGAGAGGAGGGAGGGGAGCGGGCGCCCGGCACACAGAAGAGCCGCATTTAAGCTTGTAAAGAGCCGCATGTGGCTCGCGAGCCGCGGCTTGCCGACCACTGGTCTATCACATCAAATTCCAATAAAGTACATTTACGTTTTTGGTTGTAACATGACAAAATGTGGCAAATTTCAAGGGGTATGAATATTTTTTTCAAGGCACTGTACAGTAGATGGCCAATTAAATAGTTCGTTGAGGTTGTCAGTGTAAAGATCAAATGAAAAATAACTGGAATCTGTAAACAAATCAGTCAGGTTTGTCAGTGTCTTTATTAAATTTCTTTCTTTTCAATATTCAAACTAGGAAAATCAATCTGTATGGACATAATAGGTTTTGCTGGAGATCAAAAATATTATATAAAAAATGATATGGTACATATTAACCCTTTAATTGTCTAATCGGTTTTTGTTTTTTTTTTCAGGATGAACCTTTCAGCTCACACTTGCCGGAAACACTGTTTAACATCTCGCGATTCTTGTTGCACAGTCTGACCAAGCAGAGCCCCCTGGGCATTTCTAAAGTGTATCCCTTTTCTGTTGTTAGCCTGTACAGGCTGGTCATTAGACAAAAAGTTACATGACCTTTTATGACATTTAAGGGTTAGTTCACCTTTTCACAAAAAACAAAAAGGTGAGCTATCTCGCTGCACTATTCCCATACCCCCGGGCCCCTCTGCACTTCTTTTTCTCTCCTTCATTGATTATCTTCTGCCGCCCATGCCAACCGGTGTAACAATCTGGGCATCTGAAAAATGTAGCACACAACCTGGTGTCTGCTTGCAATGGTGCATGGGTATTGGCACGTGACTGCGCCATCCAATGAGAATCTCTCTGAGCCCTCTTTGTTGCAGGACAGCATACCGAAATAAAGAAGGGGTGCAAAAGTATCTGGCTTTCAAATGCCCAGACCGCTACATCAGCTATCATAGGCAGTGAAAGATAAACATCAATGGAGGTAAGTGCAGCAGAGACCGGGGATGTGGGAAGGGTGTTTTGAGTTAGTTCACTTTTTCATGTTTTATGAATAGGTGAACTAACCCTGACCCCCCGGTTCACGTCTATGCGGGTGGTGCCGCTGCGGAGTCGCACGAAAATCCGTGCAGACGCACCACCCGCACAGAGAATTGCGAACCTGTTGGCGGGTGCCATTAGTTCTAATGGCACGCCACCAGCACTGGGAAACGCAACCATACTGGGAACCGAGGTTCCCGTGTAAGCTGCGTTTTCCAAAGTAGTTCAGGGACTTCACCCTGCGTGTCACGGGCACGGGAGTCCATTCAAATGAATGGGCTCTCGTGCCCGTGAAAAACATGGCCTGCACGGCCGCATAGGTGTGAACCGGGGGTTAATGCAGTGATCTCCAAACCCTCTAAGCAAAGGGCCAGTTTACATTCCTTCAGTCTACCAGGGGGCAGGACTTTGGCCAGTGGAAGTAGAAAGTGCCCAGCATCAATGCCCCATCATTGGTTCTAACAGGAGCAATAGTGTCCCATTGATGATGTCAGTAGGGGGAATGGTGCCCTATAATTGGTGTCATTTGGTGAAATAGTGCCCCAAAGGCAATCAAAGGGCCACATCTGCTCCCCGGTCCACAGTTTGGAGACCACTGCTTTAGAGTGACCAGCATAGGAAAAGCTGATTGGAGATAAGTCTCCACCTTCACATTGTCTGTTGTTATATTTGCTAAAGCTTTGTGATTCCCATGAAGAATCTTTACCAGCAGGCACATCCAGGGCTGCTGTTAGAAATCACAGGGGCCCCATACAGATTACCGGTGGCTGGAACTGTGTGTAGGCAGGCTGTGTTACGCTATGGGGAAGCAGTGGCTCTACTAACACAGCTGCAGGTCCTAATTTGACAGGCATGTGGATGCAGGTGTACAGCCCTGAACACAGATGGTGTGCATTTGGGTCACCACACCGGCACACCTGTCAAGTTAGAACCTGCAGCTGTGTTCGTTCATATGCCGTGTCCTCATTGAGTAACAGACATCTCCAGCTGCACAAACTGCTCATTCATACTGTGTGGGCCAGAGAACCTGTCTGCATGAGCCTTTAATTTTTTTAATTACTTTTTACAACTTTGTTTTTCTTTTTTTTTTTTATGTATTTTATTTTTTTCACACTGCCTTAGGGGGGCTTTTATGAAATATCAGGGGTCTAAACAGACCCCTAATGTCTTGGTTTTGAGACAGAGAGATCAACTGAGGATATAGATTCCTCCATCCATTTCTCTACAGCCTCAGCTGCACTGGACAGTGAATGAACAGAAAGCGCTCTGTAGGCTCCTGTTCATTCACAAACTGAAGCATAGTGAACACACTTTATTATGCTTCAGTTATGAATGAACACAGTGATTGATCAGTACTGAACACTTACTGTGTTCATTCACAAAAGGGGGGGGGCAGTAAATATGTAATATTTACCAGTCCCTTTGCCTCTCTCTATCCTAAAAGTAGCAGTAGCAGTTGGCGGGAGAGGAAGGAAGCCGGCAGTGCTGCAGGTGGAGGGGCACACTAGGGGGGGCATTAGAGGATGGTGCACAAAGAGGGTGATCAGTGCAGCAGGGGGACAATTACAAGAACCAATCCCCTGTGTGCCTCCTTCCTGCAAAAGCTTAAAGCTGGTTGAAGGGAGAGGAGGAGAAGCTGGTTTTCAGCTGTTGCAGAGAGAGACGCACAGGGGATCAGTTCCATTATTTACCCTCCCACTACACCAATCACCCCCTCTCCTGTACACATCTGATTCCCCTGCTGCCTGAGCCCGGTACAGGAGAACTGCTGCTACCCCTTCAGGGGCACATCACCAGGGAAACTAGCAAGTCGATTTTCATGTGATTCACTTTACAGCTGAACTTTAGGTAAACCATTATCTGCGCATACATGTGAACTGTTCTGGCCAATTTATCCTGGCCAGCAAGCCTTGTGATTCAGACAGCCTGACCTTGCTTTCTTCTGTCGCAGTTTAATTCCCATTTGTGGGCAAAAAGTGAAGAATAACTATCTCATAGGGAACCTCTAGAAATGTTAATTGTATCTAAGCAGTACTCTGAAAAATATACAGTTTCCTCCTGAAAAACAGCAGTGCACTATCTGTGCCTCAAGCCTCATAGCTGAGTATCTGCAGTGTGAGATCATCCAAGGCACTGTAACCTTTTATTGCTGGGTTTGGGATGAGATTTGGTGACGTCATCACTTTGTTTATCAGTGTTCTGTTTGCTGGAGTGGAAGCTGTATATTAGGACCTGCAGAGCAAGAACCTTCCTCTTTCTGCTTTATTCTTTCTTTGGATTTTTACTTCCATCACCTCTCCTGCTTCTTCTTGAATATTATTCCACCATCAGATCACCACCACAGAAGCAGGACTGACACGAGGAAGCAAAGTCCTTCTTCTACCAAAATGGCCTCCCCTACAAAGAGACAAGGAGCAGAACAAAGCAGGGTAAGTCAGTATTGGAGAGAAGATCAGCTGTGGGAGATCACAGGCACAGCTTCCAGTGTGTAGTCCCCCGGATAGGTTCAGCTATTTTATTTATAATTTTTATGGATTGCAAAACCAGCTGAAACTGCGATCTTTTGTTATTTACTTGACTCTAAGATTTGTCAAAATCTTTTTACTTCTTTAACACACTACCCCAGAAACACCCTGTACACACTTGCAAAGCAGAGCAAGGCTCTTGGAGCGTACAAACTTGCTCGGCACGTGTATGAAAGGCTTCAAGGCCTCCGAATTCCCAGCAAATTCCAGGAGTCCATTGAACTAGGCATTATCACCATCCGGTCCAAGCCGTTCCATGACAGCGAGGTAAGTGCTGCCAATCTTATTATTATTATACAGGATTTATATGTCACCAACAGTTTGCTCAGCGCTTTACAATATAACAGGAGACAATACAGCAACAATACAGTTCAATACAAGAGGGTTAGGAGGGCCCTGATTCTGGGAGCTTACAATCTAAGAGGGAGGGGCTAGTGCAGGGGTGGGCAAACTTTTTGACTTGAGGGCCGCAATGGGTTCATATATTGGACCCGGGGGCCGGACCAAGAGTAGATGAATGATGTGTATGTGTCATCCATAGTAAGTATAGTAATATTCCCCCATAGTAAGCATAGTAATTAATCCCCCATATAGTAATTCATCCCCCATATAGTAATTCATCCCCCATATAGTAATTCATCCCCAATATAGTAATTCATCCCCCCATATAGTAATTCATCCCCCATATAGTAATTCATCCCCCATAAAGTAATTCATCCCCCATATAGTAATTCATCCCCCATAGTAATTCATCCCCCCTATAGTAATTCATTCCCCATATTAAGTCCCCAAGTCCCCCCTGTGTCAATTCACTTACCTTTGCTCCGCGCGTTCCTCTCGCCGTGTTCCCGCGCCGTTCCGGTGTAGCATGAAAATCTGTCTCCTATGAGGATCTGTCCCCCTCGACGTATCTGCGCATGTGCCAGTTTCAGGCATTAGCAGCCGATCGGCGATCTCCGGCACATGCGCAGATACGTCGACGAGGACAGATCCTCATAGGAGACAGATTTTCATGCTACACCGGTCTTCAGGGCGGACTGTGAGAGGAGCCTAGCGGGACCCTAGCTCCGCGGGCCGGATTAAAAGGTCCGCCGGGCCGTAGTTTGCCCATTGCTGGGCTAGTGGAACAAAGAGTAATAACTGTGGGGGATGGACTGATAGGAGAAGTAGAAGATTCCATTTTTAGCTGAGGGCAGGATAGGCTTCCCTGAAGAGATGGGTTTTCAGAGATCACCTAAAAGTGAGAAGAGTAGGCGATAGTCTGATAAATTGGGGTAGAGAGTTCCAGAGGAGGGGGGAAGCTCTGGATAAGTCTTGGAGACAAGCATGGGAGGAGACAAGGGAGCTAGAGAGCAGGAGGTCGTGCGAGGTGCGGAGAGTGATATTTGGAGACAAGATCGGTGATATAATTTGGGGCAGAGTTATATATGGCCTTATATGTTATTGTTAATGTTTTGAACTTTATCTGTTGGGCAATAGGAAGCCAGTGGAGGGATTGGCAGAGAGGGATAGAGGACACTGAGTGGAGTCCAGTGGAGGGATTGGCAGAGAGGGGTGGAGGTCAGTGGAGGGATTGGCAGAGAGGGATGGAGGACACTGAGTGGAGGGATTGGCAGAGAGGGATGGAGGACACTGAGTGGAGTCCAGTGGAGGGATTGGCAGAGAGGGTGGAGGTCAGTGGAGGGATTGGCAGAGAGGGATGGAGGACACTGAGTGGAGGCCAGTGTAGGGATTGGCAGAGAGGGGTGGAGGACACTGAGTGGAGGCCAGTGGAGGGATTGGCAGAGAGGGGTGGAGGTCAGTGGAGGGATTGGCAGAGAGGGTTGGAGGTCAGTGCAGGGATTGGCAGAGAGGGATGGAGGACACTGAGTGGAGGCCAGTGGAGGGATTGGCAGAGAGGGGTGGCAGATACGGAACGGTTAGTAAGGTGGATGAGTCTGGCCGCAGCATTCATGATAAACTGAAGAGGGGATAGCCTGCGATGAGGTCGGCCAATGAGGAGGGAGCTACAATAGTCAAGGCGAGAGATAAAAAGGGAGGGAATAAGTTGCTTAGTGGTTTCCGAGGTTAGGAACGGGCGTATCTTGGAGATGTTGCGGAGGTGAAGTCTACAAGATTTGGACAGCGATTGGATTTGTGGCTTAAAGGACAGATGTGAGTCTAGGATTACACCTAGCACCCTGGCATGAGGGGAGGGACTGATGGTTATATTCTTGATCTTGATGGAGAAGTCAGGGGAGGGGGCACGGGCTGGGGGGAATACTAAGAGCTCAGTTTTGGAAAGATTGGGTTTGAGGAAGTGGAGTGACATCCATGCCGATATGTCACTTAGTAGGTTAGTAATGCGAGAGGAGACTGAAGGGGTGAGGTGAGGGGTAGAAAGATAGATTTGTGTGTCATCAGCATAGAGATGGTACTTAAAGCCATGGGAGTTTATCAGGTGACCAAGGGAGGAGGTGCAGATGGAGAAGAGAAGGGGTCCAAGGACAGAACCTTGAGGGACCCCTACAGAAAGAGGGAGTGGAGGAGCCAGAGTTTTAGGTAATGCTGAAGGAGCACTGCGATAGGTAGGAGGAGAACCAGGAGAGATCCGAGTCTCGCAGGCTAAGAGAGTGGAGTTTTTTGAGGAGGAGGGGATGGTCAACAGTATCCAAAGCCGCAGAGAGGTCAAGTAGTAAGAGTACGGAGTAGTGGCCATTGGTTTTATACTGAAGCATAACGTCAATATTCCCTATGCCTTCTATAATACAATACTAGCAGTACTGCCAAAACGTAAGCAAATTCAAATGTACCCATAGTCTGTACACTATTGAGATTTGGTGGATTATACTAAAGTGTTATTAAACCCTCATTATAAAAAGAAATGTATATGTAGCACCATACCTGTGTACTTCTATTGTTGCTTGTCCCCTTTTGTCTTTGCAACCTGTGTTTACATGTCTTGCAACAAAATCTTAGTCCCTGGTGTTTCTGCCTATATGGTGGCTACGTTTAGATACTGCTTCTCCCTGGAGCCTTCCTGACATGCATGCTTCTGGCCGGGACTACAAAGGTTTGGGAGGAGGGATTCATTGAAACTCTATTACAGTGGGCATACATGCGCATCATGCGCTGGGTAGGAAGAATCATAAGAAATGTAGTTCCGATGCTGGCGGCCACCTGATGCTATTAAAGTGGGCACACCCGCACATTATGGGCTGGGAGCAAGGAATAATGGGACATAAACATTGATCAGCCATAACTTTTTGACCACCCACCTACTATTGAGTAGGTCATTGTTTTGCCCCTAAAACAGCCCTGATCCTTCGAGGCATGGACGGTACTGGACCAATGAATGTATGCTGTGATATCTGGCACCAAGCAGCAGACCCTATGGGGTACATTTATTAAACTGGAGCACTCAGAATCTGGTTCAGCTGTACATGGTAACCAATTCGCTTCTAACTTCAGCTGGTTCAGTTAAGCTTTGGCAATAAAACCTGGAAGCTGATTGGTTACCATGCCGAACTGCACCAGATTTTGCACTGTCCAGTTTTAGTAAATCAACCCCTATAAGTCCTGTAAGTTGCGAGGTGGTGCCTCCATGGATCTGACTTGTTTTTCTAGAGCATCCCACAGATGCTCAATTGCAGTGAGATCTGGAGAATTTGGAGACTAAATCAAGACCTCAAACTCCTTGTGTTCCTCAAACTATTCTTGAACCATTTTTTGCTGTGTGACAGAGTTCATTACCCTGATGAAAGAGGCCACTACCATCAGGGAATAGCATTTGGGGTGGACTTGGTCACCAACAATGTTTAGGTAGGTGGTGCGTGTGAAAGTAACATCCGAATGAATGGCAGGAATTGGAGTGAGATCTGGAGAGTTTGGAGACTAAATCAAGACCTCAAACTCCTTGTGTTCCTCAAACTATTCTTGAACCATTTTTGCTCTGTGACAGAGTTCATTATCCTGATGAACGAGGCCACTACCATCAGGGAATAGCATTTGGGGTGGACTTGGTCACCAACAATGTTTAGGTAGGTGGTGCGTGTGAAAGTAACATCCGAATGAATGGCAGGACCCAAGGTTTCCCAGCAGAACATTGCCCAAAGCATCACACTGCCTCTGCCGGCTTGCCTTCTTCTCATACTGCATCCTGGTGCCATCTCTTCCCCAGGTAAGTGATGCACACACACCCAGCCATCCACATGATGTAAAAGAAAACGTGATCTATCAGACCAGGCCACCTTCTTCCATTGCTCCGTGGTCCAGCTCTGATGCTCACGTTTTCATTATAAGCTCTTTCGGCTGAGGACACGGGTCAGCATGGGCACCCTGACTGGTCTGCGGCTACACAGCCCCATACGCAACAAACTGCAATGTCCATTTTTTCTGCATTCAACATTAACTTCAGGGCAAACATGTTTACTTGCTGTCTAATGTATCTCAAACACCTTTCAGATGTCAGTGTTGTAAAAAGATTATTTTTGTACTTTACCTGTCAGTGGTCGTAATGTTACAGCTGATTGGTGTAGGACTGACGCAGCAGTATCTGTTGCAGGAATAGAACTGGCTGGACAAATCTTGAGTTGGCAAATGTAAGTCTTTAGGGCAAAATACTGCTAAATGGCCTGGCAATTGTTAATGAAGAAAATCCTTTGTACAAGGAAGGTTTAATTCTACTTTTAATGATCAGGGCGAATCTTGTGTTTCCAGTTTTATTAGGGAAGTTACAAGAATTATTGGAAGCATTTTAATAACAATCCCTCCTCCTTTTGCAGCCAAGTCCATACAATCCGAGCACTTCTGGCAGTTTTCCCAACACTATAAAACCAAGCATGCTAAGAAAATTCCCTAATAAATTGGGAAAGGCATGTCGCCATAATAAAATATATGGGTTGCTATAGATGTTTAATGGCATTTCAGAGGCCTACAAATGTTTGCTCCACTTTGTAAGTATATTGCTCATTAGTGGCTGGGCTGATGGGGCTTTGTACCTGAACCTTTTAAAGCTGAACTCTGGGCACAAAAACTTTTAGTTAGGGGTATTACTCAATAGCCATACAAGATATAAATTCACTTGTCTGAGCAAAATGCATTGTAAACCCAGTTATTGTAAATAAAGCAGTGATATCATCACAATGGTGTACATGGCCTGCGCTGAGCTGTGGGAGGGACCAAGCAGGCCCTACCCACTACAGGCTGCCTGCAAAAAACTATAGGAGGGGGCAGAGACGAGACCAGTCACCCTGCACAAGGAGAGAGAGCAGAGCTGTGGGAGGGGC